AAATAATGCCGTCAACACATAGTCAAACGTATAGTTTATGCAGTGTCTGTTCTCCGTACTGTGTAGTAAAGAAAAAAACATCTAGTATTTTACTGTATGTGACGTTGCTAAGAATGTAGCTAGACTAATTCTGTTGGTTTTTTAAGTCATTCGTTCTTTATTTCTTTTTTTCATCCAAACACATATAATGAGTGGGTGCGCGTAGGCTTACTATACTATTGCATCAGAAATAGAATGAAATAAAAACACGTTTAGTTCGCGTTCTACCAAAGTGATGACGGCTTATATTCATGATGGTTTAGAGATGATGAAAGTACAATATGAAGTGACGTGGATTTTTCATTACGTAGCACTTGACAAATTTGTGTCATTATTTCTCATATCACTTAATCCATATAATAATACATTTTGTAGCGTAAAAAAACGTAAAAATATCTTTCTATCTTTACGGTCATTGAGGATTACTAGATAGAGTAAATACCTACGAAAGACTACACTACAGATTTCGTTGGCAAAGTGAGTGAACCGTCGTTAACTGATTCAAAAGGATGTCATATCAACAAGAATTGTTATTTTACGGGCAAAAGTTTTAGAAAGTAATTGTGAAGAATGGAAATTTCGTAGAATGGAACCTATGTAGAAAAATTTATCTCCCTAAAATCGATAATTTGATCTATTGTGTCAAAAATTTTGAGATTCTTACAGAGCTATAGAGAATCTTTCTTTATGGATGATATCAATAGAAGATCGCTATACCATAAAATACAATGATGATGCCCATTTTTTCCATCAATGAATAGTTTATAAAGTTCATTTGTTTATAGTCAGCTTTTCATTTGCATACATCGATGATACTAACAGCACTATCACTAATTTTTCGGTCATATTTCTCTGAGCATTTATAAAATATTTTATTTCTTGTAACCCCCCACTGATGTTGAAAAACTGTGCAAAACACACACTTACTTGTTCATTTGACTCTGGATGTCGATTTGTGACGAGATATTTTGGAGGTGTTGCAGCACGATAACCAGCATAAGCTGCTAAGCCGATAACAAAGGCTCCGGTCAATGCATATCCTGTTTTTCGTAATACTGAATCCAACAATGGATCAGCACCATTTAAAAGTGATAACGTGCCAACGGACATAGACAATATAATATTATGATTGATTTATTACGCAAAATGCCAAATGGTATGATCTTGAATGAAAATTAGACGTTGATAACGAGCAAAGTTTATTCTGAAGTTAAAATAATAGAACTCAATAAGTAAAGATATAAAACGATCTATCAAATAACTTCGAGTAAAATTTTCCTTCTGCATCGTATGCAATTTATATTTAATTACATTTTATTGCCCTACAGTCTTTTAAGGATATATATTTGAAAATTTCATAAACATACAAAAAAGACTACTTACCTTTCCAATTGTAGTATTTTTTACGGTGATTTAATCTCAACGTTGAAAAATAAAAAATTTTTATATTTTGTTTATATTGTTTAACAATAAACACGTGTGATTTTTTACGTTAAATTTTGCAGTTGAAAATAATAGTGTATAGTGTGTATTGCCGTCTACACATATATAGTTTACATGTCTGTCTCTTTTTTTTTTCAAGCTCGATTTTTTTTTTCTGTTCTTCATCTGAGGAAATTGTATTATGTACATGTGTCATATTGTTAGACGAAACTTCGTCACGCACACCTCTCTCCTCTATTCATTTTCTGACGTAGAGTGGTACAGTGTGTTTTTTCTCAGTTATAGTATGGTTTTCTAGTTCAACAATTCCCATCGTTTTCCTTATGTGGAAATTTTGTTCCACATAACGGAAAAAGATGGGAATTCTTTTAAAAGGTTCTTGATGAGAATTTTTTTTGTAAAGAACAGAAAAAAAATGCACGTATAGACATAGAGTTAGACTTACGCACACACAGCGTAGTGACACACCCTTTTTAAGAGCCAAACCAATAAAAGTAGAATATCAGAACAAACTAGAACAGAGAAAACTATGATGATTTTGACCAGCTGTAAGGGATTCATCTCATGAAATGAACACAATAAGAATTTTACTCATTTCATTACGTTCAAAAATAGCGAAAGAAAGTATATAAAACATTGAAAAATTGCTGAAAAAACAACATTTCCATCTCATGATATACTGTCTAAAGATCTCATTCATTACATAAATACTCGGAAATAAAAAAGTTAAATACTGAAAAAGTATACTCAAGATATTTTATGTAATATTACCGAAAATCATTAAACCTGCTTCTAATGATTAAACAACTTATTTTTAACGTTATTCCCAGATAAGCAAAAGACGGATGAAATGACTAGTCTTTTTTCTAGTCCGGACGATCGTCCCGACTATTCTTAACGACAAAAACGCCCCCGTCATGACTAGTCCGAAATTTTAACTGCCACCATACACGTCTGGATTGTATGGCGGACTGAAGTCAGCTAACACGTCCCGACTAGTCTTTACGACAAAAACGACCCCGTCATGACTAGTCCAAAGTTTTAACCGTTAATTAAAAGAAAACTGTCCGTAGTAGTGTCGCTGATTAGTCTGATCAGCTATATGCTGACGACGTCTGGACTAGTCTAAATGAAAGAAAGATAGAGAAATAAGTCAGAAGCAAACATGCGACATTTTGTTTTTACATACCTGCGATTGCACCAACTGAGTCATTGCGCCATCAGTTTATCTATCAGTTTCTGCATGCTAGTTTTTAGTATACATGCAGAATATTCTGAAAAATTTAGGTCTTCGTTGAAACTTATCATAATTTCCGAATAAATAGTTCTGAGGAAAACAATTTTTTTTAAAAATTTTAGTCCATGGTTGCATGTTTGAGTCAAGCAGAAAGTTTTCGAAAAAATTCTTTGCTCAAAAATCCCTGCAATATGGATCGTTCAGTTCGGTTTTCTGGTGCATTCCAGATATCACCTAGCTTCAGTTTCAAACTCACATCTTTCCGGTGGAAAGATTGAAATTATTAGGACAATTTTTCTAATTTCTTGCTACCGGCTACATGTGGTGTCTAAGTTTCTTCATAAAGCTACCATTGATAACATTGTAAATTACTCTATCTTATACCGAATTATGCGCTCTACAAAATGCGACATATACTTCTATGCATAACTGAACCGTACATTATTTTCCCAAAAGACTAATCAGAAAGTGTCTGTTAACGGGCACAATCTTATTTGACTAGAACAATGTACCAGACGTCCGTCTGGTTCGGGCCTTAGTTTCTTTGCGCAGACGATATAATGATTTGAACTAAGACTATGGAATTATTCATGTCATCTTTCTTTTCTTTGGATTAGTCTAAACGGGTATAGCGGACAAAACAGACTAGTCATGACGGGTGGAAGAGACACTCCAGACTAGTCTAGATGGGTTAAACGGACATTTGTTAAAAACTGAACTAGTCTTGACGAGCAAAAGGGACGTTCCAGACTAGTCCTGACGAAATATACGCACATTTCGGACTAGTCATGACGATCGTCTGCAGTAATTTTTTGCTTACCTGGGTTTTGTAGAAAGTTGTTAGCTCTACAAAGTGCATACATACTAACTGCGACTGAAGGATTTTTAAATGCTAAAAACAGCGGCACTAACCTGGAACAACGGTGTCGGGACAAGTACAGAATTCTAAGAAATCTAGTGAAACGGAAAATTGATGCTCAGCAAATAGAATACTGGGTTGAACTGAGTGAAGAAATTGAACATGCCATCAAACATCACGATCCAGCGATGGCCTATGCAATGATAGGGAGACTTTGAGGCAGTAGCAAGAATGTAGAAAACATACCAATTCGAAATAAAAGTGGCGACCTTCTGACCAATTCAAAAGACAGATTAATCCGATGGAGGGAATATTTTTGCGATCTACTGAATGTACATATAGTCGTTGATCCATCAATTATTCAGCAGATTCCAATTCCATCAATTACGAAATTAGAACACGATCAACAAGACAAACCGCCATCTCTTGCCGAAGTTAGAGAAGCCATCAAACAGGTGAAAAATAGAAAAGCTCGTGGAAATGATGATATAGCAGCCGACCTATTGAAAGTCGGTGGTATGCCAATAGTTACATAGCTTCATCAAATTATATTTGATATTTGGCTGAATGAGGACATGGTGGAGGGCAGGATCATGGCAATTCTGATAAGGCTGTACAAGAACAAAGGAGATAAAAGAATTTGTGATAATTATCGTGGCATCTCCTTGCTTGTGGTGGCTAGCAAAATCTTCTCCCGTATTATCTTGAACCGTGTGCAGTCCCTGCTTGAGAAACAACTGCTAGAACAACAGGCAGGATTTAGATCTAATAGTTACAACACTTGATCAAATATTCACACTAAAAATGGTAATGGAGAAATCAAGGGAATTTAATAAACCACTATTTATGTGTTTTATCGACATCCAAATAGCTTCCCTAGTGAAGCTTTTTTTCTCAAGCACATGAGCAAGCACATACCTCAAGATTTGTCTCCCTGCACATGAATTTCTTACTCATGCAAAACGCTTGAGGTATGTGCTTGACTTTCTTGTCTCATGC